ATTCTACAGAAATATTACCTGCAAATGTGTATGTAGCCTTCGAAGACTGAAGGTGAAATACACTCAACATCCTGAATCAAAACGACAAGTTTTAATAAGGATCCCAGGCCTAACGAAACAAACGAACCATTTGTTATGTTTGATTGATTAGGTTAAGGAACTGATTTTTGCAAGTTAAAAAAAACATTACCATCGGTTTTCGTTCGAAAACTGAATTCATACCATTGGGCCAAAGAATCCATGTCAATCTTATGATGGTAAACATGATTAATATTTAATTTAGTTTTAAAATATTAAAAATTTATTTGACATCCACTTACTATATCATCGATCGAATAGACAATTGAATCTTCCGCATCCTTGATGAATATACGTATTAATATGTTATCTTTAATTCCCATCTCAAAAACAATTGATACCATGAATAAAAATTGCCCGCGGACAATAATGCATACTTCGATGTATAATACCTCATCGTTATCATCCTCATTCATAGTATCATCGTTTTGATCTTGTTCGTTAACAATTTCTGTTTTTGTGTCAAAGTTATTGCTGGAATCAAATTCTTCATCTTCTTCATCACTATCATCACAAGGCAACGTCGTGCCCAAAAATTTTCCAACTGTATTCTTCATCATTGCTTTTAAATTAGTACAATGAGTTGGGTCAAGAGACACAACGTGATTTTGTTGGTCCAGTGAAAGTTCATAGGAGACACCTTCAAAAAACCTGGCGTTCTCGGTAGTATCTGTGCCTACAATTTCAAATTTAATTATTATACGTATATAATTACAACAGAACTGTTACTAAAGTCAACACGTATATAATTGGAACACCCTTATAATCTTATCTAACTGGTCCAATCATATGGTAAGATGACTCTATACAAGTCCTACTGTGCTTGGTCAAAGCAATATGGATACTTGCCTGAAAACACCAATGCTGTCGGAAGCCCGAGAGTACGCGAATCAGGAAACCTGAAGATGATGTGTATTATCGAAAATTAAAAACTTCACACTATTATGTCAAAACAATTAAAATTGCTTACTTCCTCGCATTACTATTTTCATTCTCATTATGAGTGTTCTCCACAAAATCACATAAATCCTCAACGACCTTTTCGTTATCTTTAAAACATAAATTCTATTATATAGAAAGAGAATATGTGAATACATATTTATT